TTTTATTACTGATTGAATAGGAATGTCTACAATGCTTTGCTAGCTCACATGACTCACAATGAAGACTAGATAAAGACACTCCTTTAAACATATCTGGGAAYARATGASTTAAAGCAGAAAAAGACAAATGACCAAACCGGAAATGACATAACAAAATTTTGTTAACAGACTCCGACACAACTGACTCTAAAGCAACTCCATGAGGTGGTTCCAAGACTTGATTTGGTGTGTCCATCAGGTATATTCCGTTCGCCTCATGGCCACTCCCAATCGTCCTCTGAGACTGCAGGTCCTAAAAAACACAATGAGTGGGAAAGAAGGTTATGCTGCAGTTCATGGACTTTGTTAAGCTATTAACAGATAAAAGGTTTGTGTTAAGCTTAGGAACATGGAGGACAAGGTGTCAGAGGTCTTTATATCTCCTTTACCAGAGATGGGGGCAAGTGACCCATCAGCAAGGGATATTTTCTCTTTCCCAGAGAGGAGATGATATGAACAAAAGGGTTAGATAGGCTGGTCATATGGTTTGATGCACCGGAATCTATAATCCAAGGGAGTTTATGATTACCTGAAACTGAAGCATGATTTGCTGAGGCATATGTACCTGAGTGAGCAAAGGCCGACGAAGAGGATGTACTGTTGGAAGGGTGGGCTGAAGAAACTGTAGCTTCCAGGTGATTTAGGAGCCTCCCATACTTCTCAAAGTCTAACTTCATTGCAGCCAACTGCTCAATGGTTTATGTTTTCTCACTCTCCTTACTTTCCCCTTCAGGTATTGTAGCAGCATTAGTAGTCTTGAGTTTTCCTGCTTGACTGCCCTTCTTAGGATTGTTCTTAAACCTCTCAGGGAGTAGTTCAGGGTGAAGTTTCCAGCAGGTGTCCTTGGTATGCCGTGGTTTCTTGCAATATTCACACACCTGCTCCCCCTTTTCAGTAGGCCCCTTAGATTTCATTCCCGCATGTGCAAAGTGTTCTGTAGGTGGACTTTGCAACTGAACTTGTCATCTTCTTTCCTCACTACTTATCATGGCATATTCCTGTGATAGAGTAACCTCATCTCTGGCCAAAATATTCTGTCTGATAATATCAAACTCAGGGTTGAGTCCAGTGAGAAACTCGAACATCCTGTTTCTCTCCACCAGCTTTCTGTACATTTCAGCATCCTTCTTACTCTCCCATACCACAGTTTCCATAACATCAATTTCCTGCCATAGGGATTTTAGTATAGAGTAGTAGATTGCTACACTCTTCTCCCCTTGTCTCAGGTTCTTCACATCACTTTTCAATTTGTACGCTCGGGCTACATTCAGTTTCTGTGAATAAGTCTCAGTTACACTATCCCATATCTCC